GGGGCGGCCCCTGGAGTGCTCGGTGTCCCCAAAACCAGAGAGGGACCTTTCAACCCGAACTCTGTGGGGATAGTGTGTAAACATGACAGTGCTACACGGCGGAACTGCACAGACAGCGATTGATCAATATCTAGATCTGAAGATCTGCTTTGAATCTTCTCATAGTGATCATTTCTAATGATTAGGAGCTTCAAGCTGATTTAATGCTTAAACTTGGGTCCCGTCCAGGTGGGGATGTCTGGGAGCTGGGGCCCTGTGGTCCAAAATTGTTGAGGGGAAACGCCCGGTCTCATGTGTGAGAAACGGGTTTCTCTGTGTTTCTGTGATTTTTCCTCTCAATGAAGCTCTCGGGGTGCATCCTTGGTGTGAGTCGAACAGCAGGGAGGGAGCTGTGTTTCAATCAGAGTGACACATTGTTTAGCAAGTTTCAGATTGAAAAGGTGGGGAGGGGGGGGGGTATTGTCTTCCTGCTGTGTGAACTATTTAAACTATTTTAGGGCATCCAGCAGCTGAAGGGTGGGATTCTCATTTTGCATGCAGACCGAGTTGCTTTTTGAGAGCTGACTCGATGTACCTTTGTAGCCTTGCTCCCCCGCATAAGGGTGGCCTTGATGTGTCAGGGGAATTTGCTCTGAGCCCCCTGCCCACTGGAGGCTGACTCTTGGGTCACCAGGGCCAGTCAATATGCCTTGCACTCCAGTCCGTCTCACTCTCGCCCGGGGGTGATGAGAGGGGGTCTTGCACTGAGGCTTGCGTCATGTCCTTCGGCATCCGTGCTGCCATCTTGCCACCCCCCCCACGTGTATAAACTAGGTTTAGAAAAGAAAAATGGGTGAGAAGGGTCTTATCTGGCGTGGGCGCGCATGGCTGCACAAAAGAAGGAATGAAACCATTGCAAGTCAAAGTTCATAAAGGGAATGCAAGCTGGCCGTGGTCTGGTGCACCATCCCTTCCCACCAGACAAGCATTGTTCATTGTGTGTAAGAGGTCAAGAGGTCGCAGGGTTCCTGTTTATAAGTGGTCCAACGCAAAAGAATACTTGATGCACTTGACTAGAGTACTGAAGCTGGTGACGAAAACGACGTTTCACTTCGTGTTCCATGAATGTTGCAGTGTTTGCCTACGGGGCGACCGGAGCAGGCAAGACCCACACTATGTTAGGCTCGGCGGAGGACCCTGGCGTTATGTACCACACCATGAAGGAGCTGTACAGCCGTATCGAGCAGGTTCAAGATGAGAAGGTCTTTGACATTGCCGTCTCCTATCTGGAAGTGAGTGCTTATGGAATTTTTTCTGTTTATTCTCTTAGTCCTTGGCTGGGGGTCCCAGACTCCTCTGAAATTCAAACATGCCTGAAGTCGTTGCTTTACACACAGTACTTTATAGAAATTTGTGTTTTCATATACGATATTTAAAACTATATAGTTACATATAGGCATTGTTGCTCCTTACAACACTGTCACAGTCACCTTTTAAAGCTAATTGTACTGATTTAAATCCACTTAATAATAATAATAATAATTGCTTACACTTATATAGCGCTTTTCTGGACACTTCACTCAAAGCGCTTTACAGGTAATGGGGTCTCCCCTCCACCACCACCACTTAAATCAATTGATTCTTGTTAAGTTGCTTTGTCTCTTTAATGATTTTGAGTGGATGCTTTGTTTGAATTGTTAGGGTCGATGAATGGGACATTAACGTTGTGCGGGGATTATTGATAACATTGAGGCTGTTTTGTATTGCTTAATTTTGTTACAGTGGGAGAGGTCTGTCTTAGGCCTTCAAAAAAAGGGAAGCTTGATTTAACCTTGAATTGAATTACCTTCATTGTAAACTAAGAACTGACGTTTGGGTAGTTGCGCAGGATAAAATATGCAAATTGCTATCCTCGGTTTGGAAAGTTGCTATTTTATCATAGTAAGCGATATTCTGTTCTGTTTCAGGGTGTAAAAGGTATAAGCAGGGGTTCCCAGTCCTCGTCCTGGAGGCCCACACACCTGCTGAGCTTAATTACCCAATTTAAGCCTTAATTGAATTAATAAGCTGCTTGATTGTAACATTTGCAAGTATTTTTTTTTTCCCATCTCAAGAGTCTGGGGTTTGATTTTAACTAGAAAATGAATTTTTTGAAAGTAAGTTTAAAACCTGAAAGCAGTCACAGTTCAATTTTATGATGTTATTAAGTCCATTACAATTTCAGTGGTGTAATGGACAACTTCTATTGGAACAAAAAATGACAGGTGTGTGGATGTCCAGACCCATGATTGAGAACTCCTGATGCAGGGAGGGAGCCTATATAAAGAAATTCTTAGAGGCACTTTTTTTTTTATACTGCCGCTGATTATAACCCAAAACTTTCTTAATCCTCGTCCAGAGGATTTGAGGATATAATGCAACATAATATCCCTTCATGACTAAATAGCTGGGTCTTAGCATGAAAACTCTTCCTAAAAAGCTACAAAAGCACAGTGAGGTGTTTTATTTTTTAACATGAAAGTAATGGAGGACAATGAACTCCAATAAACCACGTTCTCTGGATATATTTTGTTACTTGAGCTGATGCGGACAAGATCGCATATAATTCTAAATTGGTCTTGTTGTGGAGGCCAGCTTTCTAAAACAAGGACTTAATGAAAGAGCTGCTGGCAAGAAACCACTGTTCAAATGGCATATTTAGCAAATACTAAACGTCTTATCTGTCAGTAAGACTGAAAAGAAATCATGCATGAATGCATCTACAGGACGTGCTGAATTTCTGTGACAGTATTGTGCCTGTCCCAGGATGAACCTACGCGAGTAATTGTGTCTGTCCTCAGGTTTATAACGAGCAGATCAGGGACCTCCTGACGAATTCTGGGCCCTTGGCTGTCCGAGAAGACAGTGCTAAGGGAGTGGTGGTTCAGGGACTCACACTGCATCAGGTACGAGCCAGTGTCTAGCCTGCAGTGGTCTAGGCACTGGAGCACCTTTAATTAACAAAATAACACGAATCCACCGTGCTGACAGCGTGGTGTAACACGACCAGGAGCGACATCTCTTCTACGTTTATTGAACATCCATTCTCGCCAGTAGAAGACCATCAAATAGTTACAAACGAGAGGAGGCTGTTCACCCCATCTAGTCCGTTTAGTTGCTAATTGATCCAGCTGTCTCCTCCAGCGGTTCTTGAAAGAACTGGCTTCAAAATCATGGCTGAATATAGGCATGGTAGCCTAGGTGGGGGGAAAAAATTGTTTTTCCTTTTAATTTTTTTGGATTTGCTTGTTTTTTTTTTTTTACTTGTTACTTGAACCCTGTATGAATACAAGAGTATTAGAAAATGATTCTAATTTCCAAACGGTTATTAGACTGTCAAATATAGTTTAACATGATGGTTGTGCAGGTCTCCGAAAATACAGTAATGATGAACAGATGTTGGGTTCTCACACTTCTGGCTGCAACCCTATAGATATTGCGCTATTAAGAATGTAAGGGGGGCCGCCTCTCATCGGTAACGTTTTGGCCCATTCTGCTCATTTGTGGCTGAGAAGCTGAATGAAAGGCCCCGCTGAGTTAGTCCCCAGATACACTGCTGGAGCACTTTTCCAGACTTCAACTAATTCCTTTGCAGAAATGTGGATTCTAGAACTATAAAGAGTGCCTTTTTTTTTTGGTTATAGAGTTCCTCTTCTTCCTCTGGTCTTGGTCACTTGAGAGAGTTGTTTGTGGTGGTTGTTAATAAGCAGCTGGAGATGTGATGGCAGCCACCATTTTTTTGTTTTTCTCTTTTGTTTTAATTTGCTTTAAAAAAAAAAATCTATAAAAAAATCCCAGCATTGATTAAAGGCCTCTAAAGATAACCAAAGTTCTTTTGTGTCTCGCCCAACACTTTGTAGCCCAAATCCACAGAGCATATCCTTGAAGCTCTAGATTATGGCAACCGCAACAGAACACAGCATCCCACTGATGTGAATGCCTGCTCGTCGCGATCCCACGCAGTGTTTCAGGTAAAGGGGTGAGAGGGTACCGTCTCCATCGGGTGTGGTGCAATCATACGTCCTGTGAGGTCAGAGAGATTCCTCTAGGATAAGCTACATTAAGAAACGTGAAGATGGATCATGTTTCTTCATGTAGCTTCACCTAGAAGAGAGATCCCTCGATTTGTTCAACTAAAGCTACAACGTTTTCTTACATTTTGCATCTTCCTTAGTTCTGCAACGTTTTTGGTAGGCTTCATTACTTTTTTTTATGGGGTCTTTTTGCATCCTTGTCTTAATGGGCGCAAGGTGGATGATTGATTTTGGTTGGTTTAAGCCTTTCAAATTCCTTTCCACCAAGAAAATGACATCCGGACTCCGCAGGGGGTTTTCGACTTGAGTGACGTTTTTAGAACATAAGACGTGCCGAAATTGTACAGCTCTGCGTTTTCCGCACGAGTGCCTCTCCTCTCGAGGCTGGTAGACCTCCGGACGGCGCCGAGGCCGCGGGTGCCGCCGCGCCACTCCGGCTGACGCCTCCTGGCTTCCTTTCCAGGTTTACGTGCGGCAGCGGGAGAAAACGGCCGGCATTAACCAGGACGTCCGGATCGCCAAGATGAGCCTCATTGACCTGGCGGGGTCCGAGCGGGCCGGGGCCACCAACGCCAAAGGCGCCAGGTTCCGGGAGGGGGCCAACATCAACCGCTCGCTGCTGGCCCTCGGAAACGTCATCAACGCCCTGGCGGACCCTAAGGTGTGCGCCGCCCGGCGGCCTCGACCGTTCGCGCGCCAGGCCAGGCGCTGCGTCGCCATGGCGCCCGTTTCTGGGTGGCGATGGCTCTGTTTCCTGCGGGTGCGGCTCAGCTCAAGTCAGAAGGGTTTGAGGTCCATTCTCTGCCCTCTGCTCTCGTTTCTGTTGTTCTCTGGTTCCTCGCTGAAGTGCCAATCCTAGACGCTTCCCGCCTGGGGCCAGGCCTTTGAAGAGTGACCAGAGCTCCACCCAGGCGAGGACAGTGCTCACATGGGAATTCGGCCTAATTTGTTTTCAAGCGATGGCTTCACGACACATGGGAGTTTGCTTTAAGAGAGGAGGTTTTTGTTGAAGTTTGGAGGTGTAATATTCCCTTTCTGTAATTAGTTATCTTTTGCCGGAGCGCGGTATACGGTTTCCTGGTGTGTGTATCTCATGCTGCGCTGAAACGTGAGTGGAGGAGGGTTGGACGCCTGGCAGTGAAAGATAAGACAGTTGCAGTGGCGAGGCAGTGTGGTGTATAGTATTTTGGAGGGGTGGAGGAGCGTGAGGAAGACGCCCGGCGTTTATTGGAATCTGTTGATCCAACAGCTTCCTCCGGTAGTCTTCCTTAAATCAACATCCATTTTGAATGGCTTTTCATGTTCTATGTGCTTTGTTTCCAAATACCCACGAACGTCTTGTGTCGAAAGGGGGGCCTCGTGCCTTTCTATCCCAAAAGCGCTCGGGGTTCGTTTCCGGCTCTGTATTTCCCGGCTGCGCCTGGCGCAGTTCGGTGGCTGTCCGTGCCTGCTGTGATGGTTCCATTCGGCGATTGCGAGCGCTCGGGTCGAACCTTCTCCAGGCTGCTCCCTGGATGCTTGACTTCTTGGTGTACGAGGCAAAGGTGGAGCTCTGCTGCCTCACGTGGCACCCGGGCCTGTCTTTCTGATGAATACATACTGTTGCCAATGGTGGAGAGTTCTCCAAGGCCATGGTGCATTTGACAGAGCTGTCTGCCTATAGATGAAGAGTTGCAGGATACCCAGTTTATATGACACTTCAGCCAGCTGAGCAGACTACTTAACAGTTGAAGTTTTGGCAGCTGAACAGACTTAAAAACAAGATGCCTGTGTGCGGTGTATTCTAAACGCTTGTTTAGGAAAAGAGAGGGGAGCAAAAGCAGTTTTTGGTCTGGGGGGAAAAAAAAGACCTTTTTCTTCCATGGCTGATATTTCAAATCGAAGGCCAGTTAAACAGAGGCAGATAAGTATGTGTCATTGGTTTTATTCTGTCTCAAATCCATGGCAATGACAATTACCCTCAGGAGAGTTTCTGTGTGGGTTCTTCTTAGAAAAGCTTTAAGTGTACTGTCTGAATTACACCCAGATTTCTTTCTTGGGAACATCCAGCACATAAAAGTTGAAGTGCCCTTTCTCCTGTTTTTTTTGCCAAGTTTATTGCTGTGAAATCCTTTTCTAATAAGGGGCAAATTTTTAATGTCTTCCCTAAATTGTCCAAGGTCACATGGATAATACTGGAGTCTTTGTTTAGGCTTGTTCTACTGCTCAGCAGCTCTTGCTGCGTTGTAATGAAGAGCTGCTATGTTGGCGTAAAAAAAACGGAGCCGTTTGCCAACAGGACATACACCTACTCTGTGATAGTTGCTCACTTGAGCTCTTTACAGAAAAAAAAAAGTGTTAAAGGGAAGATTTACACTGAACATTTTTTTTTAAGATCATATCTACTCAATCATGCACCCTGTTATTTTTTTTTCTTCAAATACTGTAACTGTTTTTCTTTTTAAAAAAAAGTTTAGTTCAAAGTATCCCACCGGCATCTCATTTAGCGTTTTTTTATTGTCTGGGTTTTGGATCTCTGAAGCTGTCATTCTTGGCTGCACCTTCGATTTTATGTGAGTGCTGTACATTCTTGCCTTTGACTTGATGGATTGATAGACGATCCCCACTAATCCCTCTTTTGTAACTCATATTTGAGGATATACCTTGGAATTATGCCTTGAGGTGGTGATTTTTTTTTTCCCCCTGAAATTGTGTGCTGTGTTTGAAGAGAAAATTGCTGAAAACTTGAATACATTGCCCACATTTGCAAGACACGTCCTTTGCCTGTTTCCAAGTTTTAGTGCTGGTTCTTGTAGAACCCACACACAACGCTTGTAAATATATTACGTTAATGGATTCCCTCAGCCCACCTGTACAGTTTTGGACTGCTGCTATATCCAAAGGTTACTCTTTGCCAGTCCCGGGGGGTTGCTCTTTAGACTGGGCTTGCTTTAATTGTTTCCAGCACTAGCTGGAGCACTGGGCTGCAGAGTTAACCCCAGTTCTGTATTAAAGGATTACCGTTGTCCCGCTGCATCTGTGCAGACGTTTTATAAGGTTCGGTAGGCTTGCTCGCAGACACGAAGGGTTAAAGAAAATTGTGATTGCATGAGCCTCCAAGCCTCCTAAGCAGTAAAACAGGTGATGGAAACCATTATGCTGTCGTAATCAATCCCATATTTTTTACGATGCTCCAAGGGTATATTATCAGTTCTAATTCATGGGGTTCCGCTGTTGGAGAGTGGATTAGAGCAAACTCGAGTAAAATGTGTTAATGTGGGGTTAAAATACTTATAATGTGGCCTTCGTCTGCTGTTTCTTTCTAAAACAAAGTGTATTTACATCGCCAGTCGGGAAAAATAAGTTATGAATTTTGTGAGCTCTGTCCCAGAGCTGGGGGGGGGGGGAGTGTTACGAAGGAAGAAAAAAAAAGAATATTTTTCCACAGCTGGTTGGATGAGGTGGTCTGAAAAACAAAGCTTTAACGTGGACAAAGTTGCTGAATTACTCACGGAGCCCTATGGAAGCTGCTACATGGGATTGTTAGTGCTATGTGGTGTTTGATGCTTATATTTTTTTAGTGTGTTTAAAACAAAAACGAAGGCGCTGCTGTCAGGCTCCATTGCCAATCCTGTTCTGTTACTGGCTCATTTTTCCGAGTGGTTTATGGCTGGCTCTGTGGACTAGGCTGATCTAGAGCGTTTGGGTATTGTTTCACACTATCTGCATTCATTAGCTTGTTACTAAGTAGTCTCAGCTTCCTCTTGTCCCTAGGGGAAGGTTGCATGTAAGGCACTCACATTTATGTCTGAACGTACTGTCAATGTACAGTAATATGATCCCCCAACTACAGGATGAGCAGGGTCTGTCTGTGTGGTTGTGCCCGTCTGTCCTTGTCTCTTTAGATGTCACTGCACCGGGACATCTGCTGCAAGACAAAAGGAGAGGCCACGGGTTTTTTGTCTGTTTATCCAGTTTGCAGGTTCCCTTAGTGCAAAGGCGTTTCATTCAGTATCATTTTGTTCCAGATTAAGCAGCCCGAGATACCCAATAGCCTTCCATCTGTCTGCGGGTTTTTCTGTAGAACTTTTACAGGAATATCTTATTTGTCTGGCTGACCCCTTTCTCTTTGGCAGTTTATGGCTAAGCTGCTTGTCGCAGAGCCTGGCAATGCACAGATTTCGAATTGACAATCCCTACGTTCAGACTGATTTGGATGTGCAGTTTTATGGGCTGGACTTCTGAAACCGCTTGGGGGGGGAACAAAATTGTGATTTTGTGTTACACAGAGCCCACCTTGGCTTTCCCTCTGCTCTGTTAGCCCGGCTTCACGACATCCAAGAATTCCGTCACGGGCTCCTGTCTGTTCGCATGAAGCTGCTGCCATCAAATATCCAGCTACCTCCCCAGGTCTTAAGGTTTCACAGAATTGCTATGGAGGATTTCACAACAGGCATGTGTAGCAGTTACACCTTTAAGAATGCAGTCTGAAAGACGGGCTTTTTTTTGTTTAAGAATAATGTTTGGAATGCATCGCATGGTTGTAATCGGGGGGGAAAAGTGTGACATTATTTTAATGTTTTTGTATCTTGCCCACTGGGCTGCGATCTCCCAATAATTTCTGCCAGTTGGTGAGGGCTGATCTTTCTTAAGGTAGCGCTTCCATTGAGTTTCATACCCAAGGTAAACATCTATTGTGTTGCGATTCTGGTGGCCTCGCCACCCCCATCCCTTCAAATGCGCTTTTCAGTCTGTGCAGCGAAAATCGTTACTAACGACACCCGATGACCCTAACCTGTTTTATATGGCGGTACGAACAGAGCATTGTCTGCAGTTCCCCGGGGGCTTGCTGTGGGGGAACAGGCTTCGCCAAAGTAGGTCTTGCTAATGAAACAGCCAATTTTCTTAAGTGGGACGAAGAGACTGTAGCAGCCTCCAAGCAGCCTTTGCCCTCAGCGAGACGGGGCTCCCATGAGGTGATCGATTCCCGTGCCTCAAATGGAGATGTATAAATTTTATTTCCAGATGTAGAGCGTTTTAGCCCGAGAATGAAACAGCTGGCCTGCAGTGCACTGTGTGATGATTTAATGTGGAAGTGCAATAGCTAGTTTATTATTTATCGTTGGCGTGTCCCAATGAGTGGTTTTTGGTGGGGTAGGAGCGTTGGAAAATGGTAAAGTGAAATGTGCCTGTCGGGATTTCAAGCCAAGAAATTATATTCATAGAATGTTTGTGCCGTGCTCCCGTTGTTATACATTTTTGTTGTAAACGGCACGTTTCGATTTGAGTGTTTTAGTCCCTTTCTTCATCTCTTTTTACAAAGCCCAGCTTTTGAGCAGAGGGAGAGCCTCACCGATCTACTCTTCCCACTGTAAAATCTCATTTTCTTCCTCGCGTTTTGATACTCAGCTGTTGCTCTGCAGAGTTGTTGTTGTTGTTGGCGCGGGGTTCGGATGTAATTCCCTTTTTTTTTTTTTCCCCCGGCCATGAGCCGGGCCAAGGTTGTTTCCCTTCTGCCTGCCAGCAAATGCTTCGCATTTCAGGAGCAGCAGATGGGAATGTGGTTCAAGTTCCGTGTTGCGGACTTCATTTTATCTCCAGTATCTTCGGTTTCGTCTCTCGGGGTGGATAATGCTGGGCTGCTCTTAAAATTTGTGGAATTTCTTCCAGGCTGTGGGGGGGGGCGGCTCTGGCAAGGTGTATGCAAGACTGGTGCATTATTTCCCTTCATTCTGTCAGGATCAAGCTTGTTTCTTTAACCGTGGAGCAGGACCTTGAGATTTGAGGCTGCAGTGTTTGTCATACAGATGTGCAGGTTTCTATGTTTATATCTTGGTATGAGCGGAGCAGCTCCCTCAGAGGAGCAAGGCTAAGACAGTGATGCACTGGCCAAAATCAGTGATCAGAAGCACGTCAAACGTTTGAGCGTCTTGCGGCGACCGGATTTGTTTGGTTACTGGTTCCGAGACGGGAGCTCTCTCCGTTCTTCAACGGAGGGAGGCCGCGAAGAAATTGGCAAAACGTTTCTTGGGGGGAAAAAAAAGAGGCCCTGCTGCAGAGCAGGCACTAAGTCAGCCGCATGGGCAAGTTCAGCTCGGGGAGGAGGGCAAGCACGGGGGCAGACATTCCCGGCTGTTGTTGAGCTCCTCGTGTGTTTTCAAAAGATCCTGGCAGGATAAGTGCCATCTCCCGAAACAAAGTTTTCCCTCCGCAAGTAAACCTGTGATTATGCATCATTAAAAATAAAAAGGCTGCAGGGGTAACTGACTTTTGTAATGTCAACAAAGGGACACCTGTATTTGCTTTCTATCTTTATCTTTGTTAATGATGTTGGTTAAGATACAGCAGGTTATGATTTACTATTAGCCTCACTGTTTCACAATCTGAAATGAAACCTTTATATGCGTCTGTGAATTAAGCTGTTCTATAGCCCTGTAGATGAAAGGAAGGACATCAAAGGGTTTGTCTTCCTATAGTTTTTCTTTCACGCCGTTCACCAGTCTCTCTCTCTGGGCAAAGGCTAAGGTAGCTGCCAGCCCAGAAATGGTAGTCAGGTCGCTAGTGCCGGATAAAGTGCGTCCCTGAATGTTTCAGACATCAGACAGACTCCGTTTCCCTCCAGCCTCCCGAGTTCTAATAAACCTGAACTACAGCGGTGAGTCATCGTTAAATCGAAGCCCCGGCGTGCTGTGGGGACTGGCGGTTTGTTCTGCTGGTTAATTTTGTTTACCTGCCGAAATAAAAATCTGAGAAGAGGGTGGATTTCACCCAGGCTGCCTTTTGATGGGAGTCTTAGACCCTCAAAAAGAAATCTTAGGAAAAAAGCATTCTGCAGTTTGGGAAAATGCATCAAAGTCCAGACTTGTTTTTTTTTTCTTAATAGTTTGCGTTCTTAATTTTTTTTGATTAAGAACCCTGTCACCTATCGTGTGATGTATCGGTCAAATTCGACTGAACCTAGCCTTAGTTGTTTAGGCTATGATTTTTATAGATGTAGTGTATACAATCTCCTTTTCAAGGACTTAATGGCGGAGACAACGGAGCAGTTGTTTGCGTTATACACTCGTAGAACTCGAGATCTGTGGCAAGTTGGGTGTGTTTTTCCCGCAAAGAAATTCATAACGCGTGTGCGTCTTTTCTGTTCTTTGATTCCACAGAGCAAGAAGTCTCACATCCCGTACAGAGACAGCAAGCTCACTCGACTCCTGAAGGACTCCCTAGGAGGAAACTGCCGAACCATCATGATCGCCAACGTCAGTCCTTCCTCCATGTCCTACGAGGACACCTACAACACCCTGAAGTACGCCAACAGGGCCAAGGACATAAAGTCATCCGTACGTACACATCCCACTTCCTCACGGGGCGATAAGTGTAGAATCGGGGAAGTAATTAAACTCGCACCTTTATCCTGAAGGTTCCCAGGCTTTATTTCTCTCCCCCTGGGTGGTGCCAGGTGGGGCTGTTGTGCACCAGCAGCTCAGCTGCAAGAGAGACGAGGAAGACGAGGAAGACCGTATTCCCCAGTCGAGCGGAGCACTTCCTCAGTGGGGAGGCAAAGGGTGGTTTGATTGAGAAGGACGGGATTGGCCAATGGTGTTAGCTGGAGCAATCCCCAGAATTCCAAGCTATAGAGAACCCGTGGAAAATGCAGGTCGGCCCACGGACCATTACCGTCATCTCCGTGCCAATCCTGCGAGGCAAGCTTGCTTGGAATATGTCCTTTTCCCCGTACAGCTCCAGCTGCACCTACAGAGGTTCAACTCGTTACTCTCTGGGGATGGGGTCCTAATATATCAGCCCGAGGGGGGGGTATTTAACCAGTGAAACCAGGGGGAATTTTGGGCAGTCAGGAATTTAGCCAGGACACCAGGGTTAATATTGCATCTTTTAGCAGCAGTATAGATGAAAACAGCTCTCCCCGATCACCTCTGGGTAGATCGATACAGTATTTTGTTTTCCCTGCAGACAGCCTCCTCCTCTGGCAGCCTGACACATGTTCCAGTGAATAACGTTCGAGTTCCTGTTACTGATTTCATAGAACTGAGCACTGCAGGCTTGAAATCGGTGGAAGTGTCTGCTTTCACTGTAAAGGCTATATATCAGTGTGTTAAAGTCTGGCCTCCAACCAGCACAACTAGACTCTACTGCACTTTCCTGTGAGTATTTAAGGGTTTTGTGTAAGTTTATGGAAGCTTCAGTTTAGCATCTTTCAGAAAACCCGGGGAAAAGTTCTAAACTCTGCGTGCACTGCGATCTGTTGTGAGAGTTCGAGGTCGATTGAAGGGGTGGTGAAGACACCTGTCTCGTTTAAAACATGTTTGCGGTCTTCCTCCCTCTTTCCAGCTGAAGAGCAACGTCGTCAGCCTCGACAGTCACGTCAGCCAGTACGCTGTGATCTGTGAAAAGCAGTCGAAGGAGGTAAGCAGAGCAACCCCAGTGCCAAAGTGTGATGCAGAGGGGGGCACAGCGCTGGGCAAAAGCTAGGCATTATCCCAAGCGACATGAGAAGCCGAAGTTGAGCTTCAGATAAAGGTGCCAACTCCCATCTCCTAAGGCTGCAATCGGGCAGTTAATGAAATCCTCTTTAATTCAGTTTATGTCTTAAGGGCACAGTGCATACTGGCCCAGCGACGGTTTAATTGCACTAATGTAACCCTTTTCCCCGTGTCTTGAGCTGTTAATGTCTCAAACAGGCCTGAGACACCTGCGCGAACGCAGCCTTTGAGGATAACAGTTAGGGACCCTCCTTTTTGCATTTTGATGCTTGAGCATCTCGCATCTGCTGCTTTTATGGTTTAGCACCTATTTCACAGGTGGGTCTCCTTCCCCCATACAAGAATGCAGAGCGAGTTCAGTTGAAGACTCGCTGTGCGCCCGCCGTTCTGTTCCCAGTGCGATTTTCTTTTCTGTCCTCCTGCTTCCAGATTCTCATGCTGAGACAGAAGTTGAAAGAATTCGAGGAGAAGAGCTTGGCCCTCCCAGAGAGCCGCCGTCTGAGCCTGATGGCGGTCTCCCAGCACAAGCAGGCCGAGATCGAGAAGTAAGCTCCGGAAGTGGAGTCCGTCGGAGTCCGTTTGTGCCTGTCACCCCAGACCCACCGCTGCGTCCACGCCCGTCGGGTTCTGCGGCGAAATTGCGCGGTGTCGCACGAGTCTTCCCGGGTGCTGATTTAAGAGCACCCTGCAGGCGCTTGTTAAACGTTTCTTTCCGATTCGTTTCAATGGGAGGTTTTCTCCTTTTAAAAAAAACAAGTGTGCAATAACAATGTTGGGAGGTTTGCATGGGAGAAGGACGAGCTTTGTGCGTGTAGCGCCACAGGCAGGACACTTTATTTGACAAAGATAACTAATATCCTGCATTTCATTCGGAACCTTTTGCCAGCTGCTCTATTCTTTTCACGATGTCTAAATACGACGTATAATTTGTGATATTTAGGCGATTAATTTCAATGCCTCGGTGTATCCCCAGGCAACTCCTAATCCAAGCATGAGAAAGGGGAGGACTCTGTCACGTTTGATCCTTTGAGCACAACTTTTTTTTTTTTTAAAGGCCTTCTTCAGATGAGCTGAGAATAGTTACGCTGCCTTTGGGATGTTGATCCCAGAGGGGTGGTGGTCGGTGAAACTGAGCTGTTCAATTGCTTGTTCGCTCCTGGTGTCCTTTGTTAATGGAATGGAGGTTCGTCGGACATCCACACCCAGTGTAGTTTCTCTAAACGTTGCCCATGGAAGGAGGTGGTCTGCAGTTGAGTCTAGGACCTTGCATTAAGCCACCTCATTCGGATTGAGCAGTTTTGTTCTGTTTATAATGGAAGGAACTAAAAGTCCTCCGTTTGGGATGGAAACTGCAAGGGTGCAATAGCTAAGGCATTTTTAAATTTGCTGACTTACTGCTCCCTCTCACTTAATTCGCCGGAGCTGGAATCTATCAGCTACAGTATCTGGAGTTTAAGAGCTGCAGATCCATCGCTATTAAAAATTCAGAAGTTTGGCAACCGGCAGCAGCTACAGCATCACAGGGGTTACATTGAGAAGTGCAGTCACATCCCTGCAACTTATTTTATTTTTTTTCCCAGACTACTATTGACGCAAGTCTGCCTTGTTTATTTACCGTCAAAGAACCTGCCTTTCTGTATAATAAAAGGATGGGTTCAGGAACTTGCGTCTGTATGGTTTCACAGGGCTTTTTTTAGCACCACTAAGAACCCTTCCGTTTCTCTGCCCTTTCTATTAGAAAGTGTCCTGTTTAACCCCCCTGTGACATTAGCTACATGTTATCAAATTGAACCATTTGAAATTTGCTCCTTCTGTTTCCACCTTTTAAGGCGAGATTATTGACTGAAACGGGACCATAAAGACAGCTTACAGTGAACCCGTTTCAGTAAAGGGAATTTTCTGTCCATACCTGTAATGCATTGTTTCTGAATTTAGATGCAAGAGGGCATCTAAATATTAATCATCTTAATTCTAATTTTTGCTTAGTATATCAGGTTTTTTTTTCTAATTACCTTGATGTTTTTTTCTTATTTATAAGTGGAAGACCTGGTGGCAGCTCTCGGCTTTCATTTTGTCTTTATTAACTTAGGTAATGTTAGATGTTTGGTTTTTTTTTATTATTATTACCCTGCCACCATTTTACAGCTAAACACTTCCTATGTTTTTTTATTTCCTTCCCTGTTAGGTTGGAAGAATCGCTGAAGAGCGTCTTTTCCAGCAGAATGCAGATTCGAAAAGATTTTCTGAATCTGGAAAGGCAGCTGAAGGAGAATGAACTGAAAACCTATTACAGAGAGCAGTGTCACCAGCAAATTCAGCTGCTCTGCTCATATGACAAAGCTGAGAAGGTGAGATTCCATAATGCATGCATGGGATGTGGACTACAATAGAGTGGGTAATGTTACAGGGATAATGATATAATATGTATATTAGCTGACTGTACATTATCCCTGTAACGCATAACCACTTTACACAATGGGTTTAGTCTGTCTACAGTACTCCAGGCTTTTAGGAGACCTGTTTAGTCATCTGTCTCACTTCATTGCCGGAGAAGTGTGTTTAGAATATTTAACAGACTTAATGACACAATTATTTACCACCTGCCCCCCAAGTCCAGTTTCCGATGGTGGTTCACTCTATTGCTTTTTGGTTGAGTGTGTCATTCATTTATTTTGGAGACTCAATCAGTTTTCTAGGTGGAAATGATCTTGGCAAAGCCTTGCCTCATGCAGGTGAGAGCTGACCTGATAAGGGAAATGTTTTGCAACCTGCTTATTTTCCCAAGCGTTGCAGGAATATTTGGAGGAGCAGAGAAAATCTTAAGGATTTGTCGTCAAAGATGGACCAAGTCTGTGCGAGAAAGTGGTCATTCTGGAATGGACTGTACAATTCCTGTTCGTGTTGCCACACCTCAAAGACTTGTTGCTTTGCAACTTGCATGAGGCTCTGTGCGTGTCGATCGTAAATCCTGTGGAAATTTTCATAATTTCCAATGGACTCGTGGATTGACATGCAAATTGACCCTTATTTTCATAAGCTTGCCAGGCAGATTTTTTTGGGAGGTAGGAAGTATCAGAGGGGTGTGCTTTAAATAAGTGTGCAAGATTGATGTTTGCTTTTAATTTAAACTGCAAACTAATTTGTTCAATGACTTTGTTAATTAGCAAATGGAATCTATTCTGACCGTTGCAGGATGAGTGTTTCGCTCTGAAACATGCTGTGTTGTAGTATGTAATTAACTGTGCACCACAGCTAAACCACAGCCCTGTTAGGAATCGTGTTACACTTCTTCTGTGAGCCTTCAAAAATCGACTTTTGAGATGGTGATGGTTATTTTGTAGCATTTCCATTGAATGCAAATGATGTCCACCTGTCAGCATTTGTACTGTAATTACAGAGGTGGGTGATTTGTAAACTGTCGCAAAGTGTTTGACCTTTCATCACAGGTTTTGAGTTATTTATGACTGTTTTCAGCTTTATGATTTTCTTTTTTATTTGTTGTCACAAATATAACAGGGGTACAGTGACCAAAACGTTGCTGTGTGTGCATTGGCCCTTTTTTAAACAAAAAAAAACCGTATTAGTTTGGATTTGTTTCAAGAGTGGATTTTCTGATGCACGTTCATTCTAGACTCTGTCTCGCAGCCCTGCAAGAGGGGAGCTCCCTCTAGAATAAATAGCTTTGTTCTCCTGTAAAACACTGAAGTGATTTATCGGTCTTTCAAGACTGCTTTGTGAAGCCGTGGTTCTGTCATCGCAGCTATATCGCGCATCTTTAAAGCAAAGGCAAGGAAGCTAAATGTCAGGGTTTATTTCTGATGTTAAAAGAAACTTTTTCGATGAGGCATAATTCATGCATACTTTCACCCCCCTTGTTGCTTTTGGAAAGATGAGATTCCTGCAGCATCCAACGATTTACTGCTGAATCCATAGTGGTTGTTTCATGGGAAAAAACCCATCGGTCTAAGAGATCATTTCTATAGTGTTTATTTTATGCAATATCATTTTTCTCTTCAGATTATTTTTCTTTGTGCCCGTTTCTTGCTCTTCCTTGCTTCGTCTCATGCAGTCTGAGAAGCCAACGTGTCCACTTCCTTCCTAGGCGACCTGCAAGCACGAGCGCCGGATGGCGTCCCTGCAGACCCAGCGTTTGCACATCCAGAGGCGCCTGCAGGAGGCGGGGAGGCGCTTCGAGGAGAACGGCAGCTGGCTCCACCGCGTCGAGAACGAGCTGAAAATCTTCGACCACGACGGGCAGGTGCCCAAGGTGGGAACGGACCGGAATTCGAAGGCGCCTGTGGTTTGGTGAAGGAGCGATGTGACGCAGAGCCTGAAACTCCTGGCTTGCTCCAATGACGTACTGTTAACCAAACATCTCTCGCCGCTCGGAGTTTGTTGTATAGCAGAAATTGTTTTGTTCTTTTAAACGCCTGCAGTTTACTCGTAACTTAAACTCGCAAGAGCAAGAACGAGGCACAGAGTACTGAATGTGGAAAGTTACTATTTTAAAGATTTCCCCTGGTTGCACATAAGGCACCTTTATGCGTCTCTTCTGCCCTTCCTTTTCCTTCAATTAATAAACCACCCCGTCAGGCAAGTCTTTATTTTGTTGTGCTGTGGAGGTCTTAATGAGCGAAATCGGTGGTCTTCGCTTGTCTCTCACACAGCTAGTTACCTGGAGCAATTTTTAGTTACTCCTTCTGAGAAAAGTCACACTGAACGGTGACGCACGTCCTCCTGGCTTCATCCTTTTCTTTCTCGGTACTGTGTTTCTGGGTTTTCTACGTCAGCACCGCTGCTCAGAAAAGACCTTTTAATAGCAGCACGAAGGGCCGGTGAGCTTCGGAGTCTGCAGTCTCACAAGGGGCCATCACAAGGAAAAGTTCACCTTCTTTTTTTTTTTCCCCTTTCATTGGTGTTGTTCGACCCAGGTTCTCCAGAAAGATCTGCAGTGTCACCGACAGCAACTGGAGGTTTTAGATCTGCGGCAGCATATTGAGCACATGACGCACCTCATCAGCCTTCAGGACCAAGAAAACAAGCAAACAAAAAAGTGAGCCCAGTTTCCTTTAGCTTGTGCATTCATCAGCTTCCAGAACCATTCTGATGCTGTAAATTAAAGGAGAACTGCCGTCCCCGTTTCGGACCGGCTATTTAATCTCGGTAACAAAATGAGTTGACGGTATTGTGGAATTTGAATATCCGGAATTAAGAACAAAGTCGGGAACTTTGTGAAAGTAGTATTGTATGGTCTCCATGTTGTCGCAAACCGCTGGTCTTGCCACAGACGAAAGCAAGGGTTTGTGTGAATTCTGACTGGCCCTTCCTGCTCACTAGTCACTGTAATGACTGATGTACGAGCGAATAAATACAGGTTGTGCAGCAGATATTTCACTGCAGAAATGTTCCAATGCGATCTGCAGGCAGAGTTAGCAAGTAGTATTTGTCGGCAAAAAAGATTTGAAATGCACTCATCGAAGCCGATCCTTTCTAACTCCGAAATATAAAAATCGTGCCGGTTAAGGGAGCAGGGGTTGGACCGGACGCAGTGTGGAGCAGCAGTTGTGGTTCTGCACTCGTAACTGGAAGCATGTGGGTCCACCGCGGTTGTCCTGTTGACCCTAGCTGTGTAAATGGGTCCCAGTGTCTCTTTGTTTAAAAAAACCTCAGCCATATAAATAGGCACGTAGACATAGAAGCCATGTGCAAATGCAATCTTTCCTCCACGCACCCATGTCCTGGATAGGCTGTGAAACTGAGCCATAGGTGATGTCATAAACAGAGTGGTAATTCCACTAATGGGCCAAAATGTGTTGATTGATAGATAGATACTTTATTGATCCCGTGAGGGAAATTGCAGTGCAACAGCAGCTTAACACAGACAAGACAGCCACAGTGTAACGAATGATATAATAATAATAATAATAATAATAATAATAATAGCACAATGCATACAATACAATCAGTACAGTGAGGGGTGCACTTAAAGAGTTACAAACAGTCCGGACACACAAAGAACAAACTAGAACAGAACAGTACGCAGAAAAATCGTATCACACATATAAATGTAAATATAGACGTAATATAGATATAGATATAAATATAGATATAAATGTATTGCACAGGTCCCTGGCATATATTGCACAAAAAAACGGTTGTAAACGTGAAAAGAAAGAAAGAGAACAGATGTGGCAGTAGATGTGTAGATGCCTTCAGTCCAGAAACAGGTCCCTGTCAGTTTGGCCTCTGCCCAGACGCAAGGTGGATGCGTTGTACAGTCTGATGGCAGAAGGCCAGAATGACCTCCTGTAGCGCTCCCTGTCGCACCGCGGGTGAACCGCGTTGGGCTCCCAGTCAAATAAATAGCCTTCCTCCGACTGCATTGTTGGAATGGGATAGGTAATGGATTGTTGGGTAGAGGAGTGGAGAGACAAACCTCTATCCTACTTCCTGGCCAGACTGTTCCCACCCAGAGCTGAGCTGGATTGAAAAGCAGTCGCTCTCGGCTTCAGGCCGTCCTGTGTCGTGTGTGGAACTGGCAATCGGGGACCCTGTGGAATCCAGTCGGGCTTTTCCAGCTGCTGTCGGAGGCCTGGGGAGGGAGGGAGGGAGGGGGCTGAGTTTCTGCTGTGTCCGACCAGCTTCGCGTCGCAAAGCCGGTTCGTCTCTAACCCCACCCGGATCCTTTCAGGATACTGCACGTCCTGCTGCCGGCGTTCCGGCGCCAGTTCCAAGCCCTGCGGGAGGCGGGGCTGGCGGGCCCGGCGGGCGAGGCAGAGTTCCGGGAGCTGGAGCAGCTGGTGCAGCGGGAGAAGGGGGTGGCGTGGGCCGACCAGTCCGCGGCCGAGGAGCCGGGGCGCGGGGCCCCCGGCCGGGAGGAGCTGGCCTCCGTGCTGTCCTTCTCGCTCCTCACCTGCCACCAGAACACGCCTTGCAGTAAGTGATGCGCCGGCGGCGGCCCACCCCCATCCCGGGTCTCCTTGCCCGGGGGCAGCAGACAGTAGCGGCTGGGTCCGATCTGTCCTGGGCTTTAAGTGCCACCCGTCGGTTGTGGGATCTGTGGCACCCACAGCAGGCTGAACTCCCGCCTTTCATTTCCGTGTGTCAGCTGGCCTCTCAGCGGCACCTCATTCTGGATGCCTGTAAGCCCTGTGATGTGACGATCGCCCTCCATTCTCAATCCCCTCCCCCTCTGGTAGTTCTTGAGAAAATGTCCAGGTTCCAGTTGTACGCTGGTGAGCAATGCGGCCATCTGAGGTCCTCCCGTTTCGTGTCTCAGTGTTGCACCATTGTGGGGAACAAGAAGCATGGTTCATTTTCCTTGCTCTCGTTCTGTCCCACATCTACCAGGAATAAACATTCCTCTGGAACGCTGACGTGTTCGATGTTTGCCTGGGAACCAGAGGAAGGAAGTAGAACATTTGGGCCATCTCTCTGATCGCCCTAGTGCAGACGTTTGTACTTGACGTAAAATCTAAAACCCCAGAGATATTTGTGAGCTCCAAGGACATACTGGCTCATTTTTCTCATTAAGTCAGCTGTGGATTTGGATTCCACTTGTCTCTTGAACTGTATAAGCCCTAGTGAAAGCCAGAAATTGAAACTCTTAACCATCCAAGATTTAACTCTTTTTTTTTGTACATCCTACGCAATTTGAGTTGTATCGATACTACAGATTGCCTTTAGGCCTGTGTGTGATCTCAGATTCCATTTTGTTAATTGCAACTTTTCCTTCCTGCAGGCTCCGAGAAACCTAAGAGGAAAAGCTTCCAAAGCACAGCACCGGAAACCACGATAAAAAGTTCACCTGCAAAGTCTCAAGAAGGTGAGCGATTTTTTTCTCTCTCTTGGGTTTATGGGATTTTCATGAGCGCTGCCGCTTCGACTTTGTGTACAGCAGTCCATAGTCAGTGAAATGTAGTGTCAGGTGCGTCACATCTAGGGCTGAATAAAATATTTCTCCAAGCTTTCCGTCGGCCTGCAATTTAGTCATTTTTCACTAAGACCTAAAGAATTAAGTTATTCCAGTTTGGGTCACTAGACTGGAGGTACAGGCACATTAATTGTGAGATCCTTGCAATGGAAGAGGTCGTTCCTGGGGGATCACTACTGCATTGTGTGTCATTTTCAGAGTACATCAACCAGGTTCACATTGAGCTTCTGTGTAGGTGTACAAATACTCACATGCAACACTTTTTTTTTTTCCATAGTTTTCTTTGAAGCAATAATCGAGGCTGCCCGTTTTATAACGGGGAAGCTTCTTGCTTTGAGAGTTTCACTGCTGTAGCGGTAAGCGCACTTCTGTTAGCGTCTGTCTGCGGAAGACTTTACTTCCAGGAATGAATTGACCTGGCTGTTTCCAGGATTTCCGTGCTGGTTCTTGGTACCATTACACTGAAAGGGCTGACCAGGAGTCAGCTCAAGTGTGTGTGTGTGTGTGTGTGTGTGGAGACATTGAGCAGAAGCTAAGTGAGTCGACAGGAGAGCTGGTTCCTGGTTAGATTATTTTTTTTGCCACCATCAGTAACAGGCTTCCTCTGAAAAACCTCTTCTCGGACCCAGGCTCTTCAAACGCGCTGAAGCCCACAAGGCCCCAGCATGACTGCAATCAGAGTGCACTCCAAGGGGAACACTTTTTTTATTTCATGTAATAGACTTTGATCTGCCCCCCAAATGCAGCATTGTTTGTGTGAGCTTCTCAATCTTCATTTCACTACATAGTGACCACACGTTTGCGTTAGTAGGCAGAGTGATAGACTGCTTTACTTCTGGAAAAACTCTGCTTTTTTATTAACTGGTGCTTCTTTGCAATATCCTGCAATATTTTTGTTGGCGTCTTTGTCTACTTCTGATGCACTGCGTCAGATTGTAATTGTTTCAAGATGCGTTCCCCCCCCCACAAAAAAAACGTGCCTTTCCCACCATGTGTTAAATGAAACACACACCACCTGCTCCACAGTGGACATCATTACGGCTTGTTTAGAAATCCATATTTCATGGGCAGGTTTAGTTTTTCCTCCCTCAAGGGTGTTCCCAAAAAGCTTTGCGTTCATAAGGGCCGAATTCTCACTGTAGGTCTTGTTTTTGAGTGAGCCCCTTTTGCTCGGGAGGCGAAGGTGACGGGGAAACGGAAAGTTCCGTTTCATTTTGTCAGGAATCTTTTCAGTTGCCTTCGTTGAGGGATGATCAGTGGTAAGCAGAAAAAATTCACGTGGACAAGAAAACATTGGAAAAAGAAATGTGATGGATCATTTCGTGTTTTTACAGTTTTCAAAACCCTCATTCCCTGTTGAGCTCAGTAACTGCTTGGTGCTAAAATGAACGTACCGAATTTCCACCCTGTGTTACCTCATTTTGGTGTCTGATTTTGTACCAATAAATATGATTTCTCAAGATGATCGTGCGCCAAAGGGATTTTGTGATGATCTCAGTGTCTGAATCGGTGCCTCTGTGTTCACAACAGCTTACCCATAGATGGGGGAAGATTAAGTTCACAAACTGGTGGTTTGTAGGGCTCAAAGCTTGTTGCAGTTTCTACAGCATTGAGCATGCTGAGAGTGCGACGCTTCGTGCTGGACTGCATGTGAGCCTGTACAAGAAAGTGCTGGTAACCTCTTTCACTGCCTGGCCAGCTGGAACGATCAGGGCGAAGTGCCTTTTCCCCAGACAGAACAGCAGTGAATGGTTGGCCATTTGAGGCGCCTGAACCCTAAGAAATTCCTGCTTTTTCCCCTGAATTAACTTTGATTTCCTTGCAGTAACACGAGGTGTGAAAAGTGGGGTTTGCTGAGCTTAATGAGCTCAGACTATGTCCCCATTAAAGAAACGCTTAATGCCGTGAAAGCAAGTCTGTTTCTAATTGATACACATCAATTTCCATTCAGGATTTATCCAGCATCCTGAGAGTTATCTCAGGATGCTGTGTCTTTTCTCATCTGTTGCACCTGCTTGTTGGTGCTGCCATCTGTAAACAGCTCCCACTTAATATTTTTAATGATCTACACTCGATTACTAAAACAATCGTTAGCATTAGTGTGCCACGCTGTGAAAGGAAAGATCTGAATTGAGTAGTGATGGATGTGCTTAAAGGAGATTCTTTAGGATAATTTTGGAAAACCTTTAATATACCATGCAATGGATTGCAAGCAGGGTTTTCTTTGTTCTTTTCGATACACGTGCACCTTTTGTTTTGAAGCCTAGTTTGATAATTGCATTATCTCTAGACCACCTTGGAGCTCTGATTAACATGCAGAGCTGGACAGAGACAAAGATATTTTCCATATCAGTTGTACAAGCACAGCAGTCTATTGTACGTCATACACAATTAGGCACAAAGCAGCCAATCCCCTTGGAGGATTTGAGTGTATCTGTTTGGAATAATGGGGTTGGGTTTCATTTATTGCCAGCAGCGCTCCTACATCAGCGTGTTGGAAAGGGCTCACTGTAGAACTCCGTCTTGATGGGTATGTGATTGCAAGGGACACAGTGCTTGACTTCTTTGCAAACCGCAGGTGTCCGTTATCTCAGGGTTGAGTGCCCCAGCTTGGAAATTGAATTGAGCCCGATAACTTTATCTCCTGTTACCAATAATCCTAATGGCCGAAAAATGCAAGGTTTTTTTGCATTTGTGTTTTTTTTCGACAAAGTATATTTAACAAGATGCACACACCAGGGACGACATGGTTTATATTGATCGCGATGAGTAAGCCAGATACCTTTTGAATCCTTAGGGAGGTAGGTGGAGCACAGGACTCTGTTCAGCATTACACAACAGGTTTGCTATATTTAGGTTTCATAAAGGAAGTGGAGCATCTTCAGTGTTTATAGAGCTTATAGACTGGTCACGTTTTGGGTTTTTTTTTAACTGCTGTGCTCAAGACTCTGAATGCTTAAGGAAATGTTTATGATCCTCTTGTTTTCACCAAAACTGATGTTACAAGTCCCTGCAGCTTTCGGCACGCACATATTCCTCTGTAAACGCCAATAAAAGCAGGTTGCACTGAAGAGCTTTACAGTTGAGTTCTGCCTCGGGAAGGACAAAAGATAAATGCCCTTCATTGCGGTTAAACAGTCCACTTTGTAATCTAAACTGTGGCTTCAATAACAGCGAACTAGTTTCACAAATATTTCTCTGAAACCCCACAGAAAGCTGCTGAGGGCAAGCAACAGAACTCCAAACAATCCTGTGGTGGATGACTGGAAATTACTTGCAATAGTATATACATAAGTCTACATACAGTGACTCCTCAGATTGTCTATGAATCCACTATGTCTCTTTGTAGATTTTTAAATTGAAAGTCAAAAATGGTTACGTGGTTTGCGCTGTACGCATATGACTGTCGTGGATGTCTGTCTACATCCCTGCCCTTAATGCATACATTTTATATGTTCCATGTGTGCTTTTCCCACAGCATGGCTCAAAAAAAGCTATCTGGATGTATGTGTGAATGGTAAAGAGGCCAAACTGCATGGTCCTTTCATTATAAACCCCCTTTTTTTGTGTGAGCCTTTTGACCTAGAGTAGCAGAAGTGAGAAGCAAAATATGTGCCTTCAATAAAGTACAGAAGACCACCCTGACCTTTTAAAGAGCTTTGCAGCACCCTTTCTGAAAAGCTCTAAACTCGGTGTGCCTGACTTGTATCAGAGCCCTCAGTGCTACTTGTTCTGTCACACTTGATGATGAAGCAGACCTTGTTCCTGCTGCTTCCTCGCAAGACAAGAGCCGTGAGGAATTGCATTAGACGGTTTTCCATTCTTAAAAAAAAATCTTTCTGCGAACCACAGGTACCACCAGAAATGTTTATTGAAAAGCACAATATTAATATTTGATTAAACTTCAGCAGTGCAATAGAAGCATCACCCAGTAGACCTATTTTTAATTTAGCACTGTTTCCAGAAATACCCCCTCATGCATGCATTAATGTGCCCGAAAAGGAGGAGAGAGAAAAAACTCCCATGCTGTTATTTCATTCCCATATCTCAATTAGAACAAATCTCATTCATCAATGTCTCTTTGTCATGAACCCTTCCATGTGGGCTGTGACTCATGTTTGCTAAATATTACATTTTGCTTTTCACATTAACTTATAGATCCATAAATCTTTTTTTTTTCTTACAGTAGTATAAGCGGGATTTTGATGAATTAGTTCCTATGTCTAAAAGTCTGTACTGGAGGCTAAAAATGGAAACTTAATGGTCAATTAGGCTACAAAATCCCAAAAACCGTAATACTGGATTGAAGGTGAACTGCATATGAAAAATCCTGAATGGAAAGCCGAGTATTAAACATTTATATTCATACGCTTCTGAATTTCAGTACCTTTATACTCGCAAGACTTCGGCTTCCTTTGCTTTTTAATGCTGATTTATTCGGTTTTGTTTTTAACCTGGAAATTGGCCTAATTGCAGCCCAAACCATTTATTTCCTTCACATCGGGGATTTATGAAAAAAGCATCTGAAGCCATACATCAGCATTAAGAGAAAAATATTTACTTTTCAGGTTCAAATTAAAGGGAATAGCAGAAGGTTGAAGGGTGGTGACTGTTTGCTTCAAGCCTTGTGCGAGTGTGACGGTGTTGGGTTCATGCTAGATGAGATAAAAACTATGGAGTCTCGCTGTTTGGTGACAATAGACTAAAGACCAAACTTTAGAATGGGAAGTACAGAGCCCTGGGGCCCCAGCAGCTGCAGATCTTGTCCTGGTCCTGTAGTTACCCCCTGTGCCGTCTGGATTCCATTTCTGCTGATAACGTTTAGTTTTTTTAAGTTTATTGAACCCCTTATGTAAACCAATTGATTGATTTGTAACTGTTTTCTACACTCGGGGCTAACACCACTCTACTTCCTGTGCAGCATTTCCAAGAAATCTAGCGAGCGCACCGGTTTTTCGATTTGCTTTTAATTTGTCACTGCCCTGCATCTTTCTCAGCAGCTCCCTTCAGTTAATGATGTGTCGCCACAGGTGGGCATGACACCATCAGACACTCCCTCAAAGACAAGCTCCTGCTGCTGGAGGGCATTAGTTGTTACATTCAGTCAGGTGATCCAAATGATAAACCTGAATGAGGGAAAAGTTGAAACCCTCTCTCGGGCACACCTCTTGTCGTCGTGAGACTCGTTCGACTATTTAAGCACTGAAATGGCTTAAAAAAAAAGTCTTGACTAATGACTAATCGGCACTAATGCAGAAGGCACAGTGGGAAGACCTATGAAGGGAGTATTCAAGTATGCGCAGGGTTTTACAAATTCAGTTAAGATATTAAGCCTGGGTTACCTCTAACAGTTTGGTTTACCATAGTCTGTTCTACACTGGGTGCAGGCTGTGTTAAGTTACAGATTTGGGTTAAGATTGAGACTCGTCTTTTAGATGTTCTGCTTGACTGTTCCAATAAGCATTCAACTGGAAGAGGAGCTAATAAGATCTCATCCATCCAATCAAATCAAATATAAAATACGGGCATATGTACAGTTGCTCATTGCCATCAGGCCAAACGGAGGGTTTGCCCAGAGACTTGTGTTGGACATATGCCGCAGAGAAACCTTTTCCCTTATTCCTCATCTCGGTGAAACAGTGGATTGGGGGGGGGGGGACAATCGATTTTGACAAAAAAACTAGCCTAAGATGAAAATGTTTCAACTGCCTGAATACATCCAACATCTATCCAGATGGCTCCTTCCTTGCTCAGGTGCAGTTGGTTTCTAGTCCCAGCGACAGCTGGTTTCTGCCTGTATGTATCAACGGGGTTTGTAGAGTTTAGAGAAGAAGATCAGAGTGAAGCTTTAAAAATTTGAATGGGTAAGGAACACCACACCTTTATAAACTTTCTATCCATTTTTGCCAAGGGCTGTATTTGATGAATACAGCTTTGCGTTGCCGAGAAGAGTGTGGGTCTTGGAAAGTTGTTGAAGCTCTGTGGACGAGTGTCCGTAATGAGCTATCAGTTCCATGAACCCAATTCCCAGGCGATGTCCAGCGCCGTGGGGCAAACATTGTCTTCTCACTTGCTACATCCTCACCCATTCTGTACAGCCGTCTGATTTATTGAGCACGTGACCAGGTGGAATTAAAGCTGCTATCTATTATGATTTGGCTGATGTTTCGTCCAGAACATGAACACAACTGGGAGGGTTCCTGCAGACATCCGAGTAAGGTTCTTTGCTCAAGGATACAACTGCAGTCCTCCACCCAGGATCTGAACCCATAACCTTCCGATTCTGTCCTGCTCACCCCTCCACAGTGCTGTGCTTATGTACATGTTCACTGGCCAAGATATTCACCTCCACCCCTCGTCTAGAGGAGTACAAGACAGGCTTCTATCTCCTTCCAACAATGGTTGGAAGATCAGTTCCCAAATGTAAAGCCCATGGGCTGTCATGGAAGTTCCTGGAGCTGGGATGCAGATATTCTGAACCCTTTGGGACAAACCATGTCTGATCCCTTCTTTCTCCTTGTTAAGGATGGATACAGTATTGCTCGGGGGGTGGGTGGTAAAGTTTTTGTCAAAGTGCGTATTGGGTATGTGCCGTGAGACACTTGGCGTGACCCGAAGATCTTGCCCTTTCTGTGAGAGGATCTCTCCTCGTCCCCAGTTCCTTCTGCCTCATTAGGCCTATCTTGTCGAGTGTTCACAGACTTGGATTATTCTCCCACCTGCTTTGTGGCTCGTGGTGGGAGGCTGATTTTTCAACAGCTCCAATTTGTGAATGCAATGATTTTCACATCCATGTTCTTTACACATTTCTGATTAGTTGCCAAGGTGCTTCTAAGGTCACTCTGTCGTACGCCGGTATAGCTCAGTATCATGAATTGTTTTCTTGCTGTTGCCTTCCCATCAGTTCATTGTAGTTTTCAGGTCTTAAAAGAGTATTTTTTTAGTTCAGCCAGAAATTCGACATTAATTTCAAAACTTAAAATTGGTCAGCGTGGTTCTAGCTTGTTGGCTTCATTCTTTAGCCTCGCCTTGCAGTGCAGAATTTAATTCTGGCTCGTTGAACAGCTACCAGTTTTATTTGATCAGTTATCTGCATTGACAGAAGCAATACTGTTTCGAACGGCTTTTAATAAGAAATGGATTGAGAGAGGCTAATGGAGTTGGGGAGTTTATATCAAGAGAGGGCGACTTTACCTTTGTAGCTTAAACAGATTTTTCTTTTGCAATCTGGTGATATGTTCCTGTGTGGAAGCTAATGGCTAATTGATTTGTCACTTGTTAATGGCATGAGCTAAATGAAAAGCTGTTTAGCATTATGATTTACAAGGTATTGGTCATAAAAGACACACATGGGTGGCAGAGAGACAGACTTCATGGTTTAATTGTGGGGGAAGGGGCTACAGGTCCTGACAACCACTCCAACAAGAGGCACAACCAAAGAGCTCAGCAGAGTTGCTCATTGTTCTAACAAACAGCTTTTAATGGATCGAGTAGCGGTTTGTAGTAATTTCATTTGGAGTGTCTACCCATTTGATTGATTTGACCCGTTCTGCAGTAATGCAGTCTGGTATCTGAAAGCAGAAGACCATTTTTCTTCTCCCCTTGCCTGAGAACTCATACTCTTGGTGTCGACCAAGTACCACCGTGTTGTCCTCCATAGGAAAACTAATCTAATGGAGTTCTCAGTCTAAGGTAGTTAGTTGGTTTGCATCTGAACTAACTTAAATATCATGAGGCCTGGAAGTAAATTGTCCCCGTAAGATTCAAGGCTTTAATTTGTTGAGATGAGTGGGATGGAGCTCAAACCTTTGATGTACAAGATCTGAGGACCCTGATCATGTATAGTGGGTTTTGGAATAGCTAGTGACAAACCTCTCAAGATGGCTTTGAGCTCTTAACAATTCAGTTATATGTGGAAGACGCAGTGGGTTTTTCCCCAAAATGATGTCGTACTCCTTCCCACGTGTGGGTTCGCTCCCAGGCGGCCCTGCCTGGGCACGGCCTACTGACGCTTCCCCATGCCTTCCCAACAGAGGACGCTGCCCTGCGGACCAGGGGGGATGCCCAGGCCTCGGAGTGCCAGCAGGAGGTTCTGCGCAAGCCCGCCAGGAGGAAGCTGGCGGTGTCCCCTCTAGCACGGAGCTGTGCAGACAACGGCCAGCAGCAGCCCCGCGTCTCCGCGCTGCAGGGCGCCTTCTGTGGGGAGGGGGTGTTCCCTCTCCAGTACACCCCCGAAGTCTGCCGAACGGCGGAGCCCCCCGGCCCCACCTGCGGGGACGCAGGTGCTCCCCCCGAGTCCGTCAACCTGACCTTTGACCTGTCGGAGGAATGTGAGCCCAGCAGCAACCTCACTGCCATCATATCCCCGGGCACAGGCAAACTGGATACAGTTCTAGGCTATGGCAAAAGCTCTTATCTGCCTGGGTGAGTGGGCTGTCTTTTGTTATTTTAAATACCCAACAAACTTTTTCAGTAAGGCCCGGTTGTTTAGCCCTTCCTTTGACAGAATGAAGTCCGAAACACCATTTTCTTGCAATTCAGGTGTAATCTTTGATATAAAAAAAAGGCAGTCCTGCCCGCAAGCAGTTTGTTGTATCCTCAAATGTGCGCATTTTAATTTCTTACGCTCAAATTATGTTGTTCTTTGCAGAACACCCAAACAGCTTAATGGAATGTTTATTGCAGAATTGCCAGAAATATCCTTTCCTGCTTCCAATGAACTACCACAGTTACAGCTAAATAGATTATTTATGACAAGGGTTTTCCAGTTCACTGGAGCTGGATTGCATAATTAGTGCTGAGAGGGCCGTTGTGCCCAAAGTATAGAAAATGTTGCTCTAAGCAGCTGTAAGACACTCGCTTAACATTTCATATGTGGATTTCAATACTTCATTTTAACTTTATATGATATGGTACTTTTATGCGTGGGTCCCAGGCTGTTGTCTGAGGAGATCGACGTGCGTCTTGGGGCAGGCCCTGATCAGCGCGAATGCCGACTTTCCGGCAAATGTGTTGTTGATCGCACAGCGGGCGAGCGTCACGAACTGCTCCGCCATTTCTTTCAGGCTGGGCGTCCCCGTGCCAACCGGCGAGACGCTCGCCAGGCAGCCGAAACCATCGTACATGGCGATGACGTCGGCCGCCCAGGGGAAGCGAAAACTGAGCAGGTGAGCGTTCCTCCAGAGATCCAACGGCGCCGCAAAGTTTCGCCAGGTTGAATTAGTTTGGTCAACATGGTTTAGGCTTGTTGGCGGAGTTATTTGGCCTCGTCTTGCAGTGCAGAATTTGAGTCCAGGTAGTCGACCTGCTACCGATTTTTATCATCGATAGCTGCGTTGACAGAAGCAATATTGTTTTGAACAGCTTTTAATAAGAAATGGATTGAGAGAGGCTAATGGAGTTGGAGAGTCTATATCAAGAAAGGGTGACTTTACCTTTTGTAGAGGGTTTTTTTTTCTGCACACTGGTCATATGCTCCCATAAAGAAGCTAATGGCTAATTGATTTGTCACTTGTTAATGGTTCCTTTCAGCATGAGCTAAATGAAAAGCTGTTAAACATTGATTTACAAGGCATTGTAAAGGCTAGGCTCTGCTTTGTAAATTACATGAACCAAATAAATTGTGGTCACCAAAAAATTGTACGAGTTTTCCTTCTCTCCTGACCTGATATGCATCTGTTTAGGTTAGATTCAGGATCATTTTTATAGTTGGGTTTCCTCCCAGTGACATTTGAAAAGAATGTAAATCTTAAAATAAAAGTTCCTTAGATGTTGATGTTTTGGATCTTTGTTCTGACTCTTGAGTGCACAAATAATCAGTCGTTACCCCCTGTAGTTCTGATCTTCTGTGCCCATTACGTTTCCACACCAGGGTGGTTACATTGTCATGTTCAGAATTAGTACAGTCATATTCATGCCAATCCAACATAGGTTTCATCAGGCACAGTGTCATCTGCCGTAGGTAGGGTTTCATTTCTTTCATCCAGAATGAGCAATTAGTTCTCAGTGTTGAAACAGGATGCCTGGTTTCAAGCCAGTTATGATCAGACAATGCCTGGTTACTACAAAAAGTAAGAATTTTCAGCCAGTGCTCTGGATGATTTAGTGAAGTCTGTTACTCTTAAATGTGTCCTTCTAAAAGAGCCTTTACCTTCAGTTTGACTGTATTTATTTTTAGTTTGCACCATCCAGTTATCTTATTTTTGAAAAGGCATTTTTAGTTTAAAGCCTTGAGCGGTCTAATGCAGGAAACAGAACTGTCCCCTCATGAGTTGGTTGACATCTTTTTTTTGGGGGGGTATCTCTCCCAGCTTCAGTGTTCTGCGCGACGCCATCAAAGAAAACACACAAGGTCCCACTGTAGCCAAGCGCTTGAGAAACGACTCCTTTCTGAGCAGCAAACCCATGCGAGTCCCCAAGCTTAAAGGTAAGGTTTTGTATTTGTGCCAGAGACGGTATGAGAGCATGAGGGTTCCATCTGCCCGTCCCTCCCTGAACCCCACAATTCACAAAAAAGCAGCGTACGGTTTGCACAAAACAGTCTTAGAATCGCAAAAACCTTTACGTTTTTAATACCGTCCGACAAGCCCTTACTTCACTCCAAATCAGAAGAGTGACTGAAATTTGCACGTAGAAAAATCGCCAAACTGGCTACAACTGTTTTTTAAAAAGGAAGAGATTGTCCACACGAGGGAAACAGCTGTAGTTGGCAGCCCTCGCGTGATCATTAAGGGTTTCTTCTGTAGGACCTCTAAAATGTCCAGTGGTTAGAAATGAAAGCTGTCAGCGCTGGAAGAACTAGCAGAATTGCCAGTCTTCCCAAAATGAGGGCTCTTTTTTTTTTTTTCGTCCGCTGTTGTTTTTTGAATTTTGTGGGTCTGGTAATAACTTCTCCAGGGGATACGAAGGGGACACCACCTGTCAGCTGCTCCATCTGCAGAGTATCAACGAGTTTACAGCATTCAGCCAGGAGTGCAGCTTTCTCCAGCCTTTTCCCTCCTCCCCTTTCCTCTCTTACAAAGTATCCTAAGTGTTGTCTTTTTTTTTAACAAGTTTGGTCTGGAAAGCATTTTGTTGTTGGCTGAGGGACCTGGAGTCTTTCCAGTAGTAAAGGCTCCACTGATGGACTTTCTATTTTCGTCCCAAATTAAACTCCAGCCGTAGTAGCAACGTGATCCCCGCGCTCTGATTACTCTCTTTAAAGAGACCGGCCCTGTGTTTCTGTCACACCAGGCGGGAGTGGGTCTTAAATAGAAGATTGTTCAAAGAGCCAGTGCAAGCCGGGGAGTTTCTGTCCTGTGCGCCAGGAGGCAGGAGTCTCTTAACGTGCTCGTGAAGAATCTAAAACCCCCGATGAAGTGTGGAAATGCGGCGTTTTAAACTCTCGTTAATTGTGTTTTGAAAGAAGGGGTAGTGTGCTGTTCTGAGGAAAAATGACAAGCGCTTCCTGATGATCTTGGTGATCTGCGACGTAGGGTGGTCCCACCAAAGCCTCAGGTCATTCTGGCGCTTTCTTTCCTACTACCACCCCCTCCCTCCCCGTGCGCCCAATTTTTCAGCCTACGGCCCCCCCCCCCCCCCCCTTCCCCCAGAGTCCAATGAGCAGGAGCTGAAGACCTCCCGCGTGCTCTTTGTGACCCCCCCCCAGCTCCCGAGATGAGCTCACCACCTTCGTCCGGATCGGCTCTTATTTTTCTTTCCCCGCTCCAGGACCGGAAGAGCCGATGCCGGCGCGCCGCGTGGTGAGGAGCGTGTCGGAGGGCAACCTGAGCCTGGCTGGAGTCAAGAAGCAGCCGCGCAGGTTCATGGGAACCGCCAGGCTGTTTAAAAGAGCGGCCAAGCAGTCATGAAGGAGCCTGGGGTCCAGACCGGCGTGGCCTCATGGTCTACTGGTTGACGCCCCCAGCCCCCAACAACAAGAAAAAAATCGCTGTACAATTGCGGAAGGGAAAGGACGGCTTGCTTTAGTGGGATGGGGGTGGGGGAGTGTAAATATTTTTTTAAGAAAAAGATATTGTAAATTTTTTAGTATGTGTTTTTCTGTTGTTCTGTGTGTTAAATAACTACATCCGGCGATAAATAAATTTCTGCTTAGTGCTTTAAATCTGTTTCTTTTAATTCTTCTTCTTTATGTGAAACAAAAACCCTTTTTTCACAGATGGTTGTAAATGGGGCTACAGATCCTTCAGTAAATCCATCGTGCGGCTTGGAAGGTTTTACTGACATCTTGGTGTTGCAACTGGTTTATGACTTTCTCAAGAATTTCCCTCGCAGTACGCTACTGTAAACAGTAGTAACTCTTGCAATAAGAGGAAAGTGATGTAGAACCAGGGAATGGACTGTAGGAATTTTGTTTTTAAGAAGGTGTTCGTTATTGCAAAGAAACCAACTGGTTGCCCGTTCTCTCTCAAACTTAGGAATGCTCGCTCTGTTTGATGCAGTGTGGGAGTCAATACTTGCCTTATCAAGGGCGTTTTTACCTCTTGAATTGCACTGCTAATTCGGGCTGTTGGCAAAACCTTGGAATCGTATGAACTCGGCCTAAAGTCACGTAACAGTTTCTTCAATAAAAGCTGCGGCAATAAAATAATAACAACACTTAAGTTTGAAGGACAAAGGAATGGGTTTTTACTAAAAGATTTATAAAATGCTGAAGGTCGGTCAATGACCCTCAAAGGAACATTCGTTCTGAAGTTGGGAAGTTTTGTATTTTATCCTCTCCATTGTCACGCTAAGATGTTTTGTCTGCTTTTGTACATGGGCCTTTATCGACATCAGGAAAAAAAAGAAGGGGCAGGCTGTTCTCTGTCCTTTCACCATCACGTGTTCTTACAGTTTTTCTACCAAGAGAGAAGAATTATACCTTTAGAGGGAAAAAAAATTACCCTTGTATGGGGGAAAAAGGTCCCACTAACAAATAGTTAACCACTGTTCCACACATGTTCTCACCTATCAGGATCAAGCCTGAGTCAGCAAAACAAAAAAGCCCCAGATCACAATATCCCCTCCTGCACCCAGCACTGTTGGCAGCAAACTTGTTTTAATCATTCGTTTGGTTTTCTTCGCTCCTGTAACTCCTTATTGAAAAAAGATGTTGTGGGTTTTCTACATTGGGTGTAGTCAAGGTTTCCCACAAATCCAATTGCGGCATTATCGCTCATCCTATAAGCAGTCATCTATAACGGTTTGACCAGAGGACTGTGATCGAACCCAGCTGTTCTTACCTCCCATGTTTAAGAGTGCCTGTTCCTGTTTGGTTGTGATTTTTTTCTTGTCTTTAGATGGAGCAAAAGGCCTCAGCTAGAGTGCTTTTCGATGGGCTGAAAAACCTATGACGGCGCAGGAAATCAAACCTGAAAGGGCAACGGCGAGTGGTTTGTTCCTCAGGAAAAATAAAGGTTTCACATCCTTAAGCAATTAGTGTTCTTAACCAGGAGAGGAAGGCCTGATCAGACAGCAGGGGAAAGTGTTCTGCATGGTGGTCGTGATAGAGTACTATAGAACTTGCGGCACGGTCTGCCCACAGTACAGATCCCATCTCCTCTGGGCGTCTTAAGTTGCAACAAGTAGACTTCCACAACCTGGCGTTCATGAACTTCGGGAGATAGGAAATAAGCAATATTTCCTGAAGTGTTCCCAAGCCTTCCTCGGAACTGAAGTGGGAATGAAGATAGGAAGTGGGAATTAATTTTGTTACTTGGCTTCCTCAGCAAATACATCTTGCATTTTTCCTGTTGAGCTCAGCGTCACTCAAGAGTTCCGTTGAAGTTGTTAGGGTGAGTTCATTATTCATGTCTTATTCCCAATAAAATTCCGCAGATTAAAAGTACAGATTTCCCGTCTCTTTCTCCACCTCTCTCATATGCTCTTGAAAGCTGAACTTCTTTTTTTACTCCTGTAGTTTAATGGTGTTGAGTAAGACATAAGACCTGTTTTTACCTGTTCTACCTGCTTTTACCTGTTCATAATAGAACAGGTCAAATTGTATTCCCTGCTAAAAAGAAAGAGGCACAATATTTGGGCTCCTTCAAGTGTATACTCAGGTATACGGTGTATCCTCAAATAAGTCAGCCATACACAAGTCTCACAAACTCCCAGAAGCCTTTGAGCCCTTGGTTACAGAAATGGTGGCTTTTGCTATTTTTGTTGTGCGCGGTACAGCTTTTTGTCAGTGATAATTGGGGAAATTGTAATGAATGCTAAAAGTGAAAATGAATTAAGTTTAAGTGGGCAATTACCTTTTTTTCCAGCTGTAATCTTTAAGTGGCGCTTTAAATTGTAACAGAAAATTTTGTGGGAAATTAACCTTGACTTCAGATATTACCGCTCTGGGTTTTTCATAATAGTTTTATAACCAGGGCCATGTGTTTCTCATTAAAGCTGAGCTCTGAGCTGCACAGTGCAAGGCAGGGTTGCCATTGCAAAAATGTTACAACCTTTTAATTGCTCCCTGTTATATTTTGGATTCGATTTTTCGCTAATCCCTACTAGTATCAAGCTAACAGTGCATCATCTGAGCGAGCTCGCCTGTGTTCATTCAGATGTCTGTAATGTATAATCCACGACCTTGTGTTTCAGCAGCTCGTGGTGCAGAATGGGGTTCTTAATTGAGGTCTGAGCTTGGCTCCTTCGTCTGCTAACCTCAGGGGCCTCAGTAAGTTAAATAACTCTTTAATGGGAGCCAGAGACTTAACCTTCAGCTTTTGTCATCTTTTTTTTTTTCCCCAAGAATAAAAACGACTTCACAGTGGAGAAACTGTTATGTTGCATTTGTGTGGTTCGGTCCCGTCTTCCAGTGTAAAAAAAATCGGCTTGGATTAAGGAGTTCAGCTGAGGTTAGCAGGCAGCTTCCTTCCTGTTGCAGTCACTGTGCTCTAATGGCAGCAACAGAGCCCAAAGCTTTTACTGTGATGAAAAAATGTAGGGTATCACGCGTTCAAAATTGTGAGGCCTTTGTTAATTATTATTTTGTCTCCTCAATTGAACGTTTTATTCCAAGCCTTTTCAGAAAATCTGCACGGAAACACAGGATTATTAAGGTGTAATGTCTAGGTCACGGGCTCCAGGTCATTATACATTCAGCTTTCAGACCTTACAAGTGCACCGAATTCAGTGTGACTTTTATTTTTAGCTGAACTGCTGGATTCATCCATCAGGCCCTGCGCAAGCACTAGGACTCGGTCACCCTCTTCTCTCATTCACAAGAATTGCAGCTCCGTGCTCCCCCCTCCCCGAGGAGGCGGGCTCAAGCCGGCCGCGTGTTAACTTTGCTTCGGCCAATCAGGCTGCAGCTGTGCGATCTCCCCCGACGAATCAGGCGCAGGAGGTGGCTGGGGGTAGATGTTACTTAGCAACCGCAGGTAGATTCTGGGATCACAGTGCAGTCACTGCGATTATTTTATTTATTCCTCCCTCAGAGACTTGGAATTCTGTTTGTTTAGTGTGAGTGTTGAATGCTATTTAAACTGCATCAAAGATGCTGGGAGCTGTCTGTTGTCGGCTTTGTGTATTTTTATTTAATCATGCGATTCCGGTTAGCTGACAAGCCAGCGCGCAGCTCTGCCAGGTCTTGCAACAACACCACTCGAGACGTGCTCTTGAGAAATTTCTATCAATATACCAACCTCGAGCGACCCATGTAAATCATGGCTGCAAATGAATTAATTGAATTAATAAGCGTGGCAAAGACTGCTCAGAAACCAGGAGCTGCTCTGGAATGTGGTTGTTTTTTTGCGTCCAAGCTGCAGAAACGGGTGAAGGGGGGGAGGAGAGAGAGTGGGGGGCCTGGCGGAGGCGTGGGGGACAATGGGGAGCCCCTCGGCTCGCTCCTGCAGGTTCTCTGCGTGAGGGCAAAGTGAGTGAGCCGGCACGCGTGTTCCAACGCCCACCCTCAAGTGCGTGCCTATACTGTATACTCCCACAGCCCAGCCGTCTCCTGGGCCCGTGCGTCACAGATGTGCTACTTTTGTCTCTTCGCTAATTAGAAGACTTGTTGTCATCGTGCGTACGGGCGGTATGGGCTGGGACTGTTATGTACGTGACCCTCCCCCCTTCTCCTGTCAAACACCACGTCTCCATCTCGAGCTCTGATGTTGCCTGCAGGGTCTGTCCTACTCCAGGAGTTTCTTGCTTTCCTCTTGTTCCCCCGTCAATTTCACCCGGTGAACCTTGACCGGGTGGAACGGGACAGGAAAAGGGTCCGAGCGGCCAGCTTTTTCCAAAAACCCACCCTCCCCAAGCACCTCTCTTTCTCTTTAAAACACGGTTTGGAAAAATCAGCAGTCAGTGGTCAGGGGATGCTGGTAGAAAAGGTGACAGCTAGCACACTGAGACCACAGACACCGTATAAAGACACAGAATACAAATTCCACAGCCTCCTTTTATTTCCATGAGTGTTTTACAGTAATACTGTGGATAATAATGACTAATGAAAGCAAGTTATTTCAGAATAAGTAGGCAGCTATGAACACTAGAAACCACCTTGTGCTTTCTGGTTTCCGTAGGACCAATGGAAAGTCAAGAGCTCCTGGCCTCACTGCAGACCTTATCCGCAGCCCAGATGCCAAGAATCTGGGGGCCACACAGCCTGTCGTAGTATACACGTCACTTTTGTGGTCGGAATCCAGTGGGGCAGTCAAAGAGAACGACCAAACGAAATCGAATGGAAACATAAGCCGTATATAAGGGTGTGGGAACAGAAGTGTGACTTGCACTTGTCTATTGTGCTCTTCATTCCATCATTAACATCAATTTAAATCAGTGACCACCCCTCAGGCCAGCGCAGGCTTGACTCCTTTCCTGAGGCAAGACTTCATGCAGGAGCTCAGTGCAGCATGGGAAGGCGTTAGCGTGGGACAGGGAGGCAGTGGTAGACATGCCGTGCAAGCTGGACGATCCCGATCCCGATCCCGATCCCGAACCGCTTATCCTGGTAACTCGAGGGGCCTGCTGCTTTGGATGTGGCGTTCGGTTTTGGAAAAATGTCCGCAGAAGACGCTAGTCCCCCAAAGGGATGTTGAAATAGTCCTGGAGTGAAGGGAGCTGCTCAACAAGAAAGGTAAAATAAAATAACAATCGAGCAGGACATGAGATGAACTCAGATGCTTGC